AACAGTTTACTAATTCTTTCTTTACATCATCTAAGAGATCATCAAGTTGACATTAATTTAAAATTATCAGTCCTCTTGTACATGCTCATTACATTTTACAATTTATGGAAGGGTTTTAACTCTCTGATTTTTGTCCTTGGACTACAGGCTCCAACTGAGTATTTGGTAGTAGAAGGACAGTATTATGATTCACTACAAAATACAGGAATAAACACAGACCTCTTAAAATGCAATATCCTGTTGGCATGAATGTTCTGAGAGTTGGCCAAAAACCTATATTAGCTCTAAACCACTTTTTTCCAGACAATTGGTAGCAAAAGCATTTCAATTGAGTAAAAAATGTCTTGCATGATTTCATTATCAGCTACAAATTCAGGGAAGGAAAGAAGACCATGGTTATTTGGAAACAGACCTATGATGTTTTTAGGGCATTATCTGTTGTGTCAGCATTTGCATTTCGAAAATAAAAAATAAATCCTCAAACAGAATTTTAAAGCCATAATTTTACACTTATAAATCTATCTGTATATAAAGTAGGCTCAAAAATCAGATGACCCCACCTTTACCAAGGAAGAAGTAAACAAGAAAACCCCGCAAATATAGGGACTATATAATTATGCTTGTATTTCAGTTGCCTTAAGAAGCTTGAGTTAGATTTCAGCATGGCCACATACTGCTGCTATGGCAGTTCCAGCCATCATGGTGGGCTCTGGTGCTCCTGGGGCTTTTGAAATGACCAGAAACTGCCAAAGGTCTGTGGTTTTAATACGTAAACACAGAATTACTCACTAAAATAATTAAATCAATGCCTTCGTGGAACTCTGAGGATGCAATTCTGACCAAGTCAATCCATAGCAAATGAAAAGGAGCAGTAATTTTTTCAGGATACTCTTTTAGTGTAACAATAATGATCAATACTGTTGCACATTTCCTTTGAAGTAATAACAATAAAATATATTTTCATTCTCTAATTAAACCAAATAAAAACTAAATTTGAAATAAATTATATTTTCATGTTACTTTTCATATAATAAACAGTGAATGAATCTTCTCTCTTGATCTCCCAGTTGAAATATTTAGAGACTGTAGTGAAGTCAAGGGAGATGCATTAGATGCAACTAATACAAATTTGAGGAGAATTAGTACTCCTGAAATAGGAGTACTAACTCCTTAAAATACTGTTAGTTCTATTGAAAGGCAAAATCATCCTCTCACCTGTACTTTCCAAACAGGAAAACTGGCTGGAATACTTCACAGTCAAACAACAAAAAAAATACCCAGAGTCTAGATTATTTTCATCCCCTCCAAACACAAGCCAGACATATGTAACATATACATATTTGGAAATAATCTTGTAAACAAAATACACGCTTTATCTGATATCCCAAATCCCTTCCGTTCACTTCAGCTGGACCACCAATGTGACTGATGATGTATGCATAAGGTTTTTAGAAACCTAAAATATTTCGTATACAAAAGAGTGCAATACCTGCAGAATAATCTATATGGGCAATGCAGCTAATACTGTTTGAAACAGTAAATTCATTACAGGTTAACATTAGAAGAAAACAAAGGAGTTAATTTGCCCTGGTTTCAGCTGGGACAGAGTTTAGTTTTCTTTTTAGTGCTGTGTTTTGGATCTAGTATGGGATTTGTTATGAGAAGAATGCTGATAGTGCACCAATGTTTATAGCTGGTGCTGAGACATCAAGGACTTTTCAACTTCGCATGTTTTTTCCAGCGTGCGAGTGGGAGGGAGCATGGCCACAGCAAGGGACCCACAACTCCTAGTTTATGATTCGAGTTTAAATTTAGGATTGAGGCTCAAGTTGGCCAATAGAATATTCCGTATCATGCCCAGTACATAGATGAGAGTTGGCCAGGAGGGTTCTCTCTCTCTCTTGGGCTCTTGCTCTTCTGGGATTGCAGTTTCGGGACTTCTCTGTTTTGGGATCACTAGCTGGGACAGGTCGGGCTTCGGTCAGTGGGTGGTGAGCAATTACACTGTGCATCGCTTGTTTGCATATATTATCATCATTTTTTAATATTATAATACATTATGGATTTTTTTTTTCAAAATTTATGTTCTTTGTATGCATATGATAAAAGAATACAAAACATCAAAGTCCATCAAAAAGCAAATAATTTTTCAGTTGAGGAGAATGCTAGTGTTTTATATCAGGTATAAATGCAAGAAGTCAAATGAACTTTTCTTTTGTTTTTTTGTTAGAAGAGGTATTTCTGAAAACAAGATGCATCTCTCTGGAATCAGATAGGTCTAACAGCAGCTTCCAGAACTAATGCCAGGATCTGGGCATGTATAACAGGACATAGGCAGATGCATGATAAAGATTTTAAAACTGGCCACACAAAAACATCCTATGGGCTGAAATGTGGCTGTCAGTCACCAATTGAACAGTCTTATGTGAAAAAAAGTTAAGACTACTTCTGTGCTTTGAAGAATCAGCTAAAATATCTTCTTGAAAATAATCTTGATCAGTGTCTACTAATTAGTAGCTTTTGATTACTGTATTCTTTGTTGAAACGTCAGTCAACAGGTGGGAATGGAGAAGTTCTGTGGAAAGGACTTTAAGAATAGTTTAAAAGTATGTTAGGAATGACATATGGTATCTATGATCCCTGAGAAACCTTACAGACTTTTTTTTTCTGCCAATCCAAAATACTTTTGACCATATTAAAACCGTTAGGCTTGAGTTGATTCCAGGCTTTCTTCAAGAAACTATGCTTCTTTGAAAAAATATCAATTCTATATAAATTGATTCATTGTACCTTTTGGAAGCACTAGGAAATCAGGGATAGGTAATCTTCAGGAGTTTTACCAGGCATTTTCAGTGTTATTTTTCTCTTATTGAAATAAAAAATACCAAATCAGCTGCTCTTACTTTCAGATGGCTAAGGCATGCTAGTATATAAGAAGTTTACAAAGACAAAGTTGCTCTTCCTCTGATGGCTCCTCTGAAGTCACTAAATTCATGATCTGTACATGCTATGAAACTATCCGCTGTGTGACTGTGATACAAGTGAGACCAAAGACAACAGACTGGGAGGATTTGAAACTATATCCTGCTATATCATTACTGACGCCCATCATCCACAAAACTTCTCCCTCCCATCATGCCCTATGCTGATCCACAATGCCTAATCTTAATTAAATTTGCTATATGGGCTAAGTTGAAGAAATTATATTAAATCTTATGCAATCTCATGATTTGAGAATACTGAAAGTTAGAGATACTCTAAACAGAACAGGATTTATTTTCTTAATTTGGCAGGACCGTATTGCAAATTCGCTTTGTCTGAAGGGAAGAAAAACTATGAAAGATACATTGAGTTAAAAAAAAACAGACTCCACAAACACATGAAACAGCGATCTGAACAGTTTTTGTACAGCTTTTCTAGAGATCAGTTTAAAGAATAATCGTCTGAAAATATGCAGCTCTTTATGGAAATTTAACATGGAAAAAATTGCCATAGATATTTAGCTTGTTTATTTTTTTAAGGAAGTTAAGATTATCATCTATATTGCTGTACATGAAAAGCTTTATTCATGTTTTATCCATGGTTTATCAGCAAGCAGACTTTACAGAGCTGACTGTACAAGGATTCTTTGCATCTGGTGACCAGGGTGCAATAAATTTTGGTGATACCTCAAAACAGAGGGAAGGACTGTTGAAGATAAAACAAGAATAAACCATGATTCCTCAAAACAATGTTTTCAGCAGTAGAAAGCCTAAACAAAAATAAAGTGAGAAGGAAAAATAGCTAGTATTTTAGCTGTAGGCTAAATATTAACTGTAGGCCTGTCATTTGTGTAAGAGCTAAAAGCTTTACAGAAATGTTTCCCATACAAAATCAATTTGTCTGGACATGTGAGTAGCAATACTGAATTTCATGCTGTGATTAACATCACATTGGTTTCAGCACTTGAAATGGTTTTGAGCACTGTGCATTGAATCAAGACTACAAGAAGGAGACACACCTTACAGTGTTCTGAGATTTTAAAGATGCTCAGAAATTTCAAAAATTGTTTTGGGGTGTCTGAAGAGGATCTATTTTTGACAATACTTGAGTAATATTTATTTTTATTATCTGGAATATTTTCTGTTCAAAACATTGCATTTGTTTGCACCTATTTATACGAGCAAACGGATGGATAAGCTCAGCCTTCCAAGAGCACTGGTACCATGGACAGCTCCAGCTGCAGCACGTGAGGAAAATGGAGGGCGACCGTTGATTTCTAACGGACCTTTCTGCTTCCGGTTTATACCAGCATCACATTGGTATTTCCAAATGTGTAATCGTGGTGGTCATCCTAAATTGCCCATAAATGGAGTTTGCCTACTCAGGGCAGCAGACAGAAAGAGGTTAGCCACATCTGGCTTAAGCTCACCTTCCACCTATATACAAGTTGTTCCACCGGAGTAGAATGTAGTTCTTGTACGTTCTTTCAAGCTCACCATCATGCAATGGGGAGAGTAAGGCAAGGAAAATGTTCTGAGGCCGTATGGTGTGCTAAACTGCCCAGCTAATAATGCAGAGTTACAATTGTGTTATGGTAATTCTCTCTTTTTAAAAAACTTCAACAGCAGAATGTTCCTGTTGTGTGAAATCCCTAGAGATTACTCATTCCTTTTACTTAAAAAAAATTGTTTATAGTTTTAACCTAAGTTTGAACACAACCTTGTTTTCTCAAGTTACACTTGTTGTTTCTAAATCTTCAGTTTTAGACTTTCCTCCACAGTTGCCAAATATTATAAAACATAAGGAATAGGCAGTCTGTGGTGAAATGTACTGTATGAAAATAAGTGAATTAAGACCCCTGAAATTTCATGGTCGGGTAAGATAGTCACCAAATAAAACAAAAGTTATTTCTAAAAGCAGATTTTTCTCATTAATAGGCATAATAATGTATTTCGTGTGCTTTCCACAGTTATACTGAAACATAACTATTGTTGACCCTGTTGTTTCCTCTCCTACAGAGTCGAATGGCAGAAAGTTTGCGTCTCTTTGATTCCATCTGCAACAATAATTGGTTTATCAACACTTCCCTCATCCTTTTTTTGAATAAGAAAGATCTGCTGGCAGAAAAAATCCGGCGCATCCCCTTAACAGTCTGCTTTCCTGAATACAAAGGCCAAAACACTTACGAGGAGGCAGCAGTCTACATCCAGCGCCAGTTTGAGGACTTGAATCGCAACAAGGAGACCAAGGAGATCTATTCACACTTCACCTGCGCCACTGATACCAGTAACATACAATTTGTCTTTGATGCAGTGACAGATGTCATCATTCAGAACAATCTCAAATATATTGGCCTCTGCTAAGAATCCTTGGGCTTACTCTGTTTTCCTGAAGTGATAAAAAAGGGCCTAACCACTTCCATTTCTAGTGGAAAATAGTGGGGCAATGCTTAGTAGCCCAAGGAGAGAAAATGGGAAATCTGATGTATGTACACAGTTCCCCTTATGCCCCCTTAACCCTCTACATCATTTGTCACAAATATACGTTCCGGAGAGTGAAAACCTCCTCTTCAAAAAACACACACAGCCCCCCCAACCCTGAAAAAAAAGAAAAAAACCCACAACAACTCAAAACCCCCAAACAAAAATAAAAAGAGAGATAGAGGCCTAACTCTGTGGAGGTGTTTTCACCACAGTCACTGCACTTTTATGCCATTTGTTTCATTTCATTTCCTACAGTGGGAGTATTACCATGTTCTATGTAAGAAACAACTCTTCATCCAGTTGTCCTAAAATTTTACTGACATGAAGATACAAAGCTGGTGAGTGACAGATGAACTCATGTGCAGGGTGTGGAGCAGAATCGTTGTGCTGGGGAAAAAAGCTAGTTCAAACCACAAGCTACAGAACAGGAGATTTTAAGCAAAACACTACTTAAGGTTGTAGAGAATGGGCATGCACCCACGATATCGGTACACACCGCCAAATAGTATATACACACCCACCACGTACGCGCACGAGTCACAGCACAGACTATGTACACACTTGTGCTTCACTTCAGTGTTTATCATGGACACCTTGCCTGTTAAAGGAATTGTCGGTGCGCAACTGTTCTGTGATTTCAAAACTGACTAGCAGCTCTTTCTGCTCTTTAAGGCTTCAAATATGCAGCAAAACTACATTAAACGAGTCTATGAATAGGCCAAATTAAGGTCAGTGTTTCTTCTACTGGTAAGGAGTTTTATACATCGAAACAGTCTTCTTTTACATCTTTTTTTGCCAAATCTTGTGGTGTTTCACAAAAAACAAACTATATTTAAGAAGTAGCTTAGTGTTCCTTTTTTAATACAGATAAAACAAAATCACAAGGCAATTTTTTAAATTATTGTTGTAGTGTCTGGATTGCTGAATGTGAAAGTTGCCAAGGGACAATTCTGTTCCTCTGCTCCAAATACGTTCTGGGAATTGTAATATTGTATCAGATTTCCCAAGAAGCAGGAGCCATGGCAATTGTGTAGTATATAGCCTCCAAAGTCTTTTTTTTTGTTGTTTTTTTAAATTATTTTAAAAATGTGATGTATTATTAGAAGGTTAAAGATGAGCGATATGAACAATATCTAAATGTCTTGATATTTCAATTTAATAATTTAAATTATTTACAGTTTAGTGAAGTTAAGGAAACTGAAGAGATGCATTCCTCAGCTCCAGGTTTCATCTCGTAAAGAAACACTACTGGATGGAGTAACATTCCGGCAAAAGTTTGAATGCATAAGAAGCTCTTTGGGACTATACTGGAAAATCTCAAATGGATCATATAGACCTAACTCTTTGGTCAGTTGATTCCTTTCCCTGCCATAGAAAAGACTTCTTAAAGACTTCAGTGTAAAGTTGGTGTGTAAATATATGTTTGATAATTGTAAAGCACATGCATACACAGAGACACAGACACACATGCACACTGGAAAATAACCTTCTACTTTTGTTCCCCCTATGTACTACGATTAGTGCAAGAAATCTCAGCCAAGGGCTCTAAGAAATTTAAAACAAAATGGGTAATAACATCAACATTTAAATGGTCCACTTAAAAAAATAAATAATTCAAATGATACTGAACATGTCTATAGTGTGTTCATTAATTAGTGTTATGACAGTTACTTAATTGGATTATGTTTGTGAAGTTTTCTTTCCTTTATGACAGACTGCTGAGTTTTGTTTATTTGCTTCGGATCTTTTTCCTCAGTTCATTCACCAACATTCAGCAATTTCAATCTTAAGCAATTACATTTGAGCAACTCAGATTTAAGGGATGTGTTCCCATTTAACACCTTTACAAGTTCTGTATGCATGTTATTGTTATATTTTTTGGGGAGATCGCTAGTAGCAATTTTAGGAAAGAAGTTATAGATCAAGATCTATAGGAAATAACAGGAAAGAAACTTCAATGGTATCTGCAAAGATACATAAGAAGCCTTCCTGCATATTGTCTCATACAAGCAGGTACTTTGCACAGATGTCTATGCTTGGAAATACATGTCTAGGTATAAACACATACATAAATTTTTGAATAGTTTGTCTCCTAAACCTGTATTTAAAGATTGAAAAAAAACTGAAAAAAATATTCACATATTTGTACTAGTGAGCTCTCAGCAAGTCTCCAAAATCAATATGAAATTCTGTCTGGCTCATGCTTGTGAAAAATTAGGTTTAAGAAAAATCTAAATATTTTTATTTAGATTTTTCTTATGTTCTTCCAGAATATCCTCTAACTGAAATCTTTAGAAGTCTGGATGTACACTAAGAAAAGGTGCAACTCTTGTACAAACAGCATATACTCACAAAAATCACTTGTTAGAGGACGCTAGATAAATAATATCCCTGGAGTTTAAACAGAATTTGATTTAGAACCCTTCACCTCACTAATTCATTTCCGAGACTAGCTGAAACTACTTGATAGTGCTTGGATAGTTTCATTCCTTTGTTTGCTTGGCATTTCCACAAAATGCATTCAAAAGTCCTAATCTTACTTACCTTATGTTTAAGGATCCTTCTTTTGATCTGTTTGAGGATATCAAAAGTCAAGCTAGGATTTTTCTAAGTGACCTGGAGACTTAAGCTAGTAATGAGCTGGGACTGCCAACAGAACTACAAAAATCTTGAAGGCAGAGGTTCAAGCAATAATAATTTTCAACCTTGCTAGAGAATGCAACTATAACCAAAAACATTCTCTGAGGCTCAAGTCATGTGTTAAGACTTTCAAAACTCTTCACTCCAGACATAACTGATAACGGAGAAAAATCTGTCTAATTTTGAATTAGGTATTTTATCCCCGTACTGAAGGCACAGGGCCTCTTTAAGCGTGCCCTTTCAACTGTTACACCTGGAGGGTCGAGGCAGAAGAGCCAATGAGGCTGTGCCTTGAAGGTATAAAAGATTTGTCATGCCACACAAGGAGTGTTCAGGTCTTACTTGTAATGAGGAGATGCTATTGCCTGCTTGTGATGTGTGCAGTCAAGCTGCTTGACTTGGTGAGTTTACTAAAAGCTATATATGCTAATTGCTGGTACATTCTGTAGAGCTAGTACAGTATCCTCTAAACTTTTACTATCAAAGTGGTGCCATTTATTTGAGAAATTGCACAGTATTTCTAGTCTAAATCACTTTCTATGGTGTAATATCCTATTATTAGCCAGCTGAATTGTGAAAAATGTATAAAATGAGCCAGGGCTTCCTTTTCCAATCAACAGACCGTTAGATGGTATGCCTCCTTCACCTCTAGCTTTCATGGTACTGTGGCCGTTTCAGACTAGTGAAAGAAGTGACAAGAAATCAGCAGTGCTCATTAGAGCACAGCTTCAAGGTAAGAAAGCTGGGTAGGAAAACTAAAACCAAAAGTGTAATCAATTATGAAGAGGGTAAGAGACATTTTATATTAAAAAATAAATCTTTATTCAACTAAGAAGGTCCTTCCAACTTAAGTATTACAGGCAACCTATAATAGAAGTGAAGAACCTAGGATATTTTACCGAAGGTCTTAAGGGTGTGTCTAAAGAAAAGGAGTCAGTGACATTTCTCATTGAATGAAGGCTATCTTGGGAAAGAGAAGAGACATTGAAGCGCTGCCATGTGTTCCTACTTAGCTTAAGAAAGAAATAGGCATGGGGAGGAATAAAGAAGTAAATAATTAAGTTTAAATAATCAATTCACATAATCATGTTCTCTGAATAGCAATTCCTTGCTATTAACTCTCTAATCACTTAATTCCTATGATGTTTTTGTTCTTGGTATTCTGAGTAACTCATGGTTACTCTGTTTTCTCTCTGAAGAATTCAAGATTTTATAATACATTGTTTTACACAGAAATAAAATAATTCTATTTTCTGATTGTATAAGAAAGCTGAAGAACAGAGAAGTTAAAACTAAGAAGTCTGGGCCAAAGACAGGTGCTGAAATGAAATCCCTTGACTCTTAGTCATCCACCTGGCTACATCACGCAACTAAATTTGCATCTACTTTCTCAGGTTTATCAGTGATGCAGTGCACTGCCACCTGAAAGAACTGCATTCATATAGCTGGGATTTCATTCACCTGGGCAACAATGACATTCACAGAAGAGATGCTCCATCTGCTGCAATAAGAATGCCATCTGTCCTTTTATCATTTGCACTCCATACAACAAAACAAGTTTCAAAGCAACAAAGATATCCTTAAACAGTTCTTATCCATAGAACTGATTAGTGACGATTTTCCAGGAGTGGAATAGTGGAGGCACTGAGGGTCAGTAAAGTAGCAGAAATAGCTCTTGGACTCTTCCCAAACAGAGGTTCTGGCAAGGTTAAAAATCCATTGCCCCATCCAATCCACCTCAGTCTTTGTCTAAAAGGATTAAGTGCCCATAAAAGACAGGATAGATAATGGGTAAGAATTATTAAACTTTTCCAATAATAACCATACCCTAGTGAAAGATTTTTTTTTTCCTAGAACTACTTTTGCAGTTGTTATTGCCCAGGTCATTTATCATTGCGTAACCCTCTTTCACCACCATTGTTAAGTATAGTGTCTGAACTAACTGTTTTCGCAAAGAGTGAAGGTTTTGCTACTAATGTTTCCAACTTTCCCAATTTTCTCCTGGTGATGGTTATTCTCCCTCTTCTATGCTTTATTGAATACACATATCTATCTTATTTTTGTCTTTCTTCTGTCCATTAATTCTTGCCAGTAAGTTGTTGTTTCTTCTGGAGATATTACTCATCAGTGTTCGCCTAATCTTTGTGGATTTTCCTATCTTTTGGTTTTTAACAATTCCACTCATCCTGGAGGATACTGGTACACATCTTAAATTGAGGAATCAAAAATAGGCTCCAAGTGGATTTGCTTAAAATAAATGCATTTTCCTAAATTACTCCTGTTTGGAGAAAGATTGCGTGTCCTGGCAGAGAGGTAACAGGAGTCACTGACCGCTTCCCAGTGAACAAAACCGACTACACTTCCTGTCAAATGCATGTAGAGCTTATGTTCCTTTTGGCTAACGTGGAACATATGGCTTTATTGGCACTGTAAATTACCCCTGCTGTAGAAAACATCAACATTCTAGCTGGGGAATAGTATATTAGTTGCTGACTTCCTCCAGCTGATACAAGGTACATCCCATCTCATTACCTGGATGTGAGGTGTAGAAGTAAATGAAGAGAGGAAGACAGACAGTTTCTTGTAAGCGGCCATCTGTATGTGAGACCATTCTACAGTAACAAAATTCTGCTCAAGGAGTTATCTTCTAACCCTTAAATACAAGCGTGTACATTTATATATATGTTATATTTTTATATAAATAAAAAGAATATATGGCTCAGAACAACACCTTTTTCCAAGAGCAATAACTCAGAGAGAGATGCTTTCACAGAACAGAAAAAAATTGATTCAAAACAGACACAAAAGTTGGGTGTCTATTAAAAAAGTAACTCTCCTTGCTTACATTTAAAATGAAATTGCAGTGAAGGCACTGACGCACAGAACTTACCAAATAACTAATTTTACAATTATCTAAATGCCCTCTTTTCATACTAATAATTATCCTTTCCTGCTTTTTGGAGACATAACTCCAGAACCATTCCCCGAAAACAGTCTCGATGTTAGAGATAATTTGATTTGGAAAATCTGATTCTTATCTGCCACCAGCACCTGAAGTAGAAGAGGTAAAATGAAGAAATGGGTATCAGTCTCGGCTCCAGAAAAGCCTCACTGAAAAGCTACCACTCAGAGAATTGCAGTCTTTCTGGTAAATATAGGCAATTTTCACTAAGTTGGGGCTGTAACATGATTTGGAAGCTGTTTTTTGTTGGACAGAGGCTCTTGCTCACTTCAGAGCTTCTGTGAACCCTTTACCTTCAATCAAAGACAAGGTTTGGAGGAGAGATGTTGCTGCAGCCAGCTCTCAGCTTTTGCTGAGTTCTCAGCTCAGCAGGGGTTGGATAATCCTTCCACTCCAGGAGGCAACTTGATTTCTCCTTGTCTAGTATAATCTCACATTTCCTGATTATCACGAAAGTGGTTTTACAGTTGTGGTAGTTCCCATGAGTGGATCCTGACCTAAGATTGATATTCAGATGTCTGCAGGGACAAAGATGGAACAATAAGAGTAGACCTGAGTGGCAGTACAGTGTACAGTTACACATCCTCCGGTTTGGGCAATGTATTTTGATTTATGTGGGATTTAAGTGTAATTCTTAATAAGCAACATTTTATATTTTGGCACCACGAAGATCTAATGTTGCTTACTGCTATAGTAAGTCTAGAAACAGAAATGACGGTTCTAATAAAATACTTTCTATATAACCTTTGGATTTAGTCCCTGCTTTTTAGAAAGTCTAACTGCAAACACTGAAAAAAACCCAACAAACAGCCCTCACTTCCTCTCAGGGCCACATGGATGGCTTTTTTTTTATTGCTTATTTCTCGCTAGAACTTTTATTCATCCTTCAGTGAACGTTTTCTGCTTATGTAGCTAAACTTCCAATCTACTTAGTAAATGCTCTGAGTTTTGGGAGATAGAACCTAAAAGCAGGTGAGTGTTTATGTACAACATGAGTTGTAGTTCACATCTGTAAGTCTCAA